AAGGCACTTTTTAGACTTTTTCGTCGGAGTGAATTATTTTTCTCCTTTGATCATAGTAGCGTCTTTTATGTCAAATTTGTGGTTAGTTTCGTTATGGGTGGCCGACAACTAATGTATTTACTGTATTGAAAAAGAAAAAAATAAATTTCCTGCATCCTTCGTTCGTGCCCTTGTGAAGTCGCACCAACATAAAATAAAATTATTCCGATGAAGTCCTAAATAACGAAATGCGTCATAAAATAACTTTTTTCGCTTTGCCATAAATTTTGCTCCAACTCCAATATTGTTCTTATGTAAAAATATATATCGTTATTAAACACGCACACACACAAACACACACACACACACACACTTACACACACAGAGACACACACACACATATATATATATATATATATATATATATATATATATATATATATATATATATATTGTTTTAAATTACGATATAGAAATTTCGATAAAGTTTTTAAATTTTGACAAATGGAAACGTTTCATGAAAATTGATTTCATTGAAAATAGATATGATAATGCATTTCGCCATTAAAGGCTTCATCAGATCCGAAAACGAAAGAATGAAATTTGTATGTGCATTTGTTTGGATGCTTAAATTTATTAAAAATCACACTTTTTTTTATCTTTAAACCTGATAGCTTATGGAAAGTAGTAAGATTCATTATTTAATCATCCACACAAATAGACATACACGCATTTCATTCTTTCGTATTCCGATCTGATGAAGCCTTTAATAGCGAAATGCATTATCAAATCTATTTTTCATCAAATCTATTTCATAAAACGTTTCCATTCGTCTAAATTGAATATACATACATACATACATACATACATACATACATATATATATATATATATATATATATATGGAGGTATTTAATATCAAAGATGGTGTAAACCAGAAAGAAAAATATCTAAATTAATTAAGCTAGCGAACAAAAAAATAAAGGTATATATGTGTGTGCGTGTGTGTGTGTGTGTGTGCGCGTGTGTGTGTGTGTGTGTGTGTGTGTGATTTCGAAAAAAATAATGGATTTATTTTTAATCTGTCATTTTCATTACTTCACAAGTTAATTTTTTTATTTTTTGTGAATACCCGCTTTGAAAATAGACGTTCTGTTTTGGTTTCAAACATTGTGTATTAAATGTATCTATCTGCACATATCAGAAATCTTAACAAAAGAAAACGTGCTCACCGTCAGGGTTCGATCTTGTGTCTCCGTCTATAGAAGAAACAACAGTTTCAGATGATTCATACCTTTGATGAGATTCATTAACCTAGCGAATACTGACTTAAACTATGTAACTTTGCTACAGGCGGCACACCTGCTAAAGCGTCGACGGTTTATCTGCCCTTGCTTTGCGTATATGATTCTTAACGTAAATAGCCATTGAGTGACTATGGGACTTTTTGTTTGTGCGTCTTGGTGTCTCTGTGTGTTTTATTTTTTTTTTTTTACTGCCAATAAAGGTCAAAGTTGCGATAAAACATGTTCGTCTTCGTACATAGTAATCCAGATACGAATAAAAACAAAACAAAAACTTCTCAGTAATTATTAGCTGCGTCTAAAAAGAAACGGAGGATTCCATGAATATCAATTAAAAGACGATAAAATTTATTACAGTCCAGGGAGTATCGCCATTGAGAAAAATCAAAATGGCGTCTATCCTTTTTTTCCAATTATAACAGATCAAATTTGTCTGACCAACTTCTTTTCGTTCCTGTTTTTTTTTCGTCTTTTTCGATATTTTCTATTCCATCGTTTTCCAACTTATTTATTTTCAATGTCAGTTGTAAACAAAGAAGTGGCTTCTGACTAGAGGCAATCTCTCATTCCATTTGTCGTAATTTATTTATATCTTATGATACTGTCTTCCAAATTTGCTAATGATAAGCTAAATGCTTCATCCCTCAATAATCCGCCACTATCTTTTTATTTCGACATAACTCTCGGTTGATGCGAGGCTAGGGTTTCGGAAAATGTAATCGTTGGGCCGAGTTAAAATTCCAGCTAAGTCTGTTGCATTCACTTTCACACTAATGTTATTGGGAAAGTCATGAAATCATCTTTGTTTTCGGCAGCTATTGGTCAAATAGCAGTGTAGTCTGGACTTTTTGGATTAAAAAAATCCAGAGAGAATATAAAGAGAAACTACCCCGATGTATTTTCCAAAAAGTCATGACAATTCACAGAACATTAAAAAAAAACTATTTGTGGTGGTGAGCCATGGACGTCAATGTCCTAAAAGAAAGAATTTGTGAAGGTAAATTTATTTTGAAGAATCTGAAATTAAATAGACTTATTACGTATGGATTTTAAATTAAATATTCTTTACAATTTCTATGAACAAAAATGAGGCTAAGAAAATCTCTGCTTGAATTTCTGGATTGAGAAATTATCATTATTCACAAAGAGAAAATAGACGTTATCAATCTTTGTTGCAATTATCACAAGGTTTCTTCAGGTGAGTCTCAATCTATGGAGTTGTATTATTATCATTAACCATCTTTGTTAATTGTCTCTAGTGTACTAATCAACTTACTGCGAGTCCTTTTTGTACTGAACCTCAGTTTACCCAAAACAGAGCTGTATTCATAATTTATGTTTCACTCAATTAATTAACCTACACTTTAATCGACTTGTCCATGGTCTTGCTGCATCCTCTGTAACCTTGCTGTCAAACTTGACTTCCTTCAACTAAGCTGAAGAACGCCAGAGGGCAAATCGGTCGAAGCTTTGTGAAAGCAACATAAATGACGAGGAAATTATTCCGATTGAAATACTATAAATAAACCGCAAAAGAAAAAAAAAGAAGGTAGAATTAAGAATATTAAATAAAGATACCGGCATTAGGAAACGGTAAAAACAAAACAACATAAGATAAATGTAAGAAAATCTCCACAGAAGGTCATCCAGACCCCCCACACAAAAGCTTGTTCTTGATAACAGTGAATCACACATTTCGGTTCTCAGCAGATATATATATATATATATATATATATATATATATATATATATATATGAACTAAGAGTTGTGAAGATAGACAGATAGATAGATAGATAGATAGATAGAAACACTGAAATATTTATTTTAAATCATTTCACCCTACGCATGTCAATAAAGTTACGTAGATCTAAGAGGGTTACTGAGTGTGAAGGAATACGAGAAAAAAGATTATTAATGAGGGATGCCAATAAGAGAACAGAAAATAAGTAAATAGAAGATGACAATTGACATTGCATTTAAATTTTTGAAGATCAAAACTGACTGGAAAAAAAAGAGTCTGGAAGAGATTTCCACATGCGTAAAGCGCGATAGTGAAAACTGTTAGCATAAAACTTACGGTTACATTTTGACTGTAAGAAGATGACACATAGTTACCAATCTAGTACTGCGCTGAAATTACCAGTGTTGAGGTGCCAAAGAAGAAAGAACAATTACCATGGAAATACTTGTAAAAATGACATAGGGAACATAGATAGATAGATAGATAGATAGATAGATAGATAGATAGATAGATAGTGAACGGACTCTCAAAGATAGATGTGTAGGATACATAATATTAAGCGAAACAAGCGTGTAGATGCTGAGACAAAGTGGGAAGTCTATAAACGACGCCTTTCACCGACGTCTGTTGGTCTTGGCTTCTTCAGGTCTGCTACATTTGTATAGACTCGCAAAGATAGATGGATAGTTATATATAAATACGAAGAGTGAGAAAGCTGGAAAGATAGATTTCAATGAACTGAGATAGATAGATAGATAGATAGATAGATAGATAGATAGATAATGATAACAACCCTTGATATACATGAAAAGATATAATTTAACATATATCAAGGTGAAAAGAATCGTTGTTAATAAAATGCTCAGTTGATATCTAGAGCAATATGTTATCTATCAAGATTAATAAAAAGTCAAGATAATTATCGAACATTGACTTGTAGTCTTAATATTCTACGTAAGGATCCAAAAATTCTCATATCTGCTTCTTGTACAGCGAATTATGAGTTGGTATTCGATAAATATAGTAAACTTTTCATATATTTAACACAATAATAGATAGATAGATAGACAGACAGATAGATAGATTAACAAATTCGCACTGATGTAAATCGACTTAGATATTAACCAAGGTATATTTTTAAAAAAATACAAAACTATAGTAATATTTGAAATAGAAAGAATTTGACTTTATATATTTTTACACCAAGAGACTGGGGTCAAAACAGAAGAACCAACTAAGACATTAACTTAAAATTTGCACGCAAATCTTGCAGATATTTGTGAGTTGGCTCTTTCGCCATTATAAAAGTGAAAAGCGAGATACAGTTTGGCTCTTATTTTTTTAAATAAGTATTCAAATATTATTAGCAAGATTATGAAACAATCAAAATATTAAAAAATATTAAAATATTTAAAAAAAAATGTAAAGCTGCACTAATTTTTCCGGACTGTAAGCTCTTGCAACGCCAGTCTTGTAGTGTTCAGCAACGCTATTGATATGATTGAAAATGAGCAGGGAAAACCTATTTCTTATTAAGATTTAAGATAGAATTTTACTTGTATCGGAAGTAAATAGACTACTACTTCCGCTATACATCGACCATCAACCTTTATTGCTTTCAATGGAGGCAAAAAATTTAAAATTCACTCCAATAATCCACAAATAGTTATTATTATTTGCTTCCTTTTGATATCGCGCGTCACCCATTTGGACGTCACTTTTATTTCCGCTTGGCATAACACAATCAATTTGTACTTTTCAGCTTCGTCATTTCATTTTATGTGTATTTTATTTTTTGTCTTTCCTTCTCTTGTCTTCTTTTCGATGAAGTGTCGAGTGACTGCATCCCCGACCGATGTTGAATCTATTTCGAACCCACTTAAAATGTTCTCTTTTTTTTTTCTTAGACCCTCATATCTGCTCCTTTTTGCCCCGACTCGAAATAAGGCCAACGATGAAGATTTCCGAATGATTGATGATCATCAACTCATCAATTTCATCTACTGATCGTGCCTCTTATTCATTAATATCCACACTCCTCCTCCTCCTCCTCTTCTTCTTCTTCTTCTTCTTTTTCTTCTTCTTCTTCTTTCTAAATATTTCTCTTGTTTAGTATAACACCTATCAAATCTTTGTCTTACTTTTGTCCTGAATATCTTGACACTTCCTTTCAAAAACATATATAATCACCTGTATCCACACTTACTTTGTTACACACACATTCTATCAGACATTGGTAGTTTTCTTTCTTTCTTTCTGTCATTCTTTCTTTCTGTCTGTCTTTCTTTCCGAAAAAAAATACTTGTCTTTTTTTCTCTCTTTCTTTCGTTCTCTGGTTCTGGCTTTCTTTCTCTCTTTCTCTCTTTCTTTCTTTCTTTCTTTCTTTCGTTCTGTCGCCCTTTCTTTCTCACAAACACACTTCTCTCTTTCTTTTTCACAACCACACTTGTCTCTTTCTTTCCCACAAACCCACCCATCTCTTTCTTTCGTTTCTCTCCCTTTCTTTCTTTCTTTCTTTCTTTCTTTCTTTCTTTCTTTCTTTCTTTTCTGCACTCTTTACTTTCCCTTCTTTTCCTTATTATTTTTACTTTTTGTTTAACTTCTTTTTTACTTTTTCTCTTTCTTCTTTATTTCTGTTTTTTCACTGTCGTTTTTCTTTCCAATTTTCTTTTTAATTTCAATTTCTCTGTTTTTGTTCTTGGCTGTTGTTTTCTGTTTTTTCTTCTTTTCATTTTCGATCGTCTCATATATTTTTCCTTTTATCCTTCCTTTTTTTTACCATTTTCTTTTCATCCATTGTTTTCATTTACTTTCTGTCTCCCTATCTGTTCTTCATTCATTTCATTTTTTTCCTTTTCCTTTCTTTTTTTGTCCAATTTTGTTTTTCATTGTTTTATTGTCAACGAATTATTCTTTTTGAATATTTATGGATTATTTTACCCGTGTTTTCTTATCTTTTTCCTTCTTTTCGAATAATTTGAAGAAAATTTAACTTTAGTGATGGCACTGAAAATATTAATTCATTGTGATCGATGTCCTATAATATTCATATTCGATATTAAATAACCATACGACGTGTTATATGTTGTTATTTTAACCAAACTAACTTAAGCATATATTTGTTTTACGTAGAATCAGAAAAAGAAAATTTAAAGTTTCGGGAAATATAATGAAAGAAAAATGAAATTTCCCAGATTCAAAGAGAAAAAATGGATGCAAAAACATTGTAAGAATCTTATTCTATTCGCCGTGTCACTTCAGAACGTGAGTGATCATGGTTCTCCATAATTTCTGCTGAAGCGAATGCAGATGACACGACAAGACTATGGTTGCTAAATCTAAATCTAAAGAGGGAAATAAAAGCAAAATTAATGGCTGCCCAGCACAGTGCCAAAGGAATCAATTATTTGCTTGGGGTGAAATGATTAAATCAAATTTAAGTCCATGCTCTACACGACGGTTTCACGTGAATTACTTGTGATAGACATCGTATTTCAAGACCTGGATTATTTTGCTCAGCGATAATGATTTTTGACAACCATTATCTTACGAAACAGACATTTGCCAACAAAAATATACTACCACTAGTTGTAGCTTTGATGGTTGTGATAATTGCTCTGGTACAAATGTCCATTGATCGCATGAATATTTTGACATTTTTTCGTGGTTCCATTAATCATTCCCACCTAGATAGAGAAAACAAGTTCCCTGCCAGGTTCATCTGGTTTGGTTTACGTGTACTTCATGGCTCTTCAAGTGTCTCATGGGATTAGTAAAGTCCGACGCAATCTTGACAATTAGGATTATAGAAGGACTGCAAGAGTAACGTTACGATTGGACTTCCCAACTTGAAACAACATCATCTGAATTTTATGAGAGGTTATTGTTGAACTAGAAGTTTATTGTAGCTGGGGCTGGTCAGAAAATTTTGGAACGTAAAGACCTAGAACGAAGTGGAATTGATAAGAGAATTGCATACCCTTAAAAATCGCTCACCCCTAAAATGTATAAAAGCTAAAAAAGAGAGACATTATTGATTGGTTGTTGAAATTGAGTGGTAGGTTTCCTTAAGAGGCATTGACTTCGTGGTGGCACAAATAAGAAATTGTGAATAAATTGTGAATAAGAAAGGTCTAAGAAAGAAAGAGGCAGTAAGAATGACATATATAAGGTATTAGCGGCGGAGGATTAGTGAAGAAATATGTTTGGGTTTTGTGAAAATACTAAAAATACCCTTTTAAAAGAAGAAAAATTGCCGAGGAAGTTTACGGTAATACCGTTGTTAAGAGAAAAGAAACTTTTAAAAAGTCCTTTTTCACATACCAATTTTTGCCGGTACGTATGTTAAACTTTTCCTGGTAAACAATAAAGGTATGAATGAACTGGGAAAGAAAGAAAATGACAAAAATGTGGAAAATAATGAGAAAATGAAAGATTAGATGAAAGGAAAGAAAAAATGTGTAGTTAAATTTAATGGGCAAAAGAAAAGAATCATAGAAAGAAAGAAAGAAAGAAAGAAAGAAAGAAAGAAAGAAAGAAAGAAATTAAGTAAGTAATTAAGCAAGAAAGGGATAAAGAAAGAAAGAGAGAGTCATGAAAACAAAACAAAAAGAAAATGATTCAAAAGAATAATGACGAAAGGAAAAGAAAAAAAGAATCGAATTTAATATGCGTGTAATAAAAAAAATTTAATCGAAAAGTTGGAGTAGCAGCGGTCGATAAGTGGAGAGCAGGAGAAAGGAAAAAAATCATCTGTTTCAAACGAGAAGTGGGTGACGGGGCAACAAGACGTGTCTGACTGGATGGGTGTCAGTGAGGTGAAGAGGTGAAAGGTTCTTTTAACAGGGGAGCTAGGGAGTGGGTAACAAGGGCCTACGCAAATGACTTAATGTCGGGGAGTTAATTTTCCTTTTTTATATTCAATTGCTTTTTTTCTCATGCAAAAACCAATGCAACGACTGTGAGAGAAAAATGTCGATTTAATAAAAAATAGTGTAACGTGTAGCCTTATGTAATAATAATAATAATAATAACAACAACAACAACAGCAATAATAATAATAATAATAATAATAATAATAATAATATAAGAAGAAGAAGAAGGTGGAGAAAAATTTTCCAAAATACCGCCCGCGCCAAATGAACAGGTCATATATACTCGTTCGAGAAAGGACATGAAAATCTCTCCAATATGGCGACAGAACAGAAGAGCATATCAGATGATTGTAATAATAATAATAATAATAATAATAATAATGAACAATGAACATTTTAAAGGATATGTAGAGTGCTAGGGAAAAGTAGAAAAGGAAAATGAAAGAGAAAAATATGTAGTTAAGAAGATTAGAAGACTTTTGAAAAAAGTGAATCTTTTAGATTATCGAAATTATTTTCTCACAGTTGCCGCATTTCTTCAGGATATAGGCGATCATGGCTCTCCACAATTTTCTATCTCGTATGGGTCTTAGCAATTTTTCTCCCTTTGCTAAGGTTTTCGCTTACCCCATTCCGCCACCCATACACACAAGCTTGTCTGATTTTCTTTATATCTCATGCTTTAAATATTCCCCGTGAGGATTAAGTTTTCCAAGCCTTCCAAGATTTCAAGTGTTCATTCTGTTGCAATTTTATTTACGATTTCCTTGCTGCTTAATCGCTAGACCAATGCGTGTTCAGATCTCGGTGTCGCATTTCCCATCCTATCCTAAAACATTTCCCAGATATTTAATCTTCTGCAACTGCTTGATGTATATATCACCAATTCGTAACTCGCATTCCGGGCTTTCTTCTCTTGCCGATGTCCATACTGTTTTCTTTAAAGTTGATATTTAGTCCATTTTCCTCGCTTTCTTATAGTTTCCCTTCCAAAATTAAATAGGATAAAAAGTACTCGATATTTTAGGATTTTATTATCACGTAAGAGACAGTGAAGATTTTTAAAAATATAATGAAATGGAAACAAGAAAAGGATTCAGACGATAAGAATATTAAGAATGATTCTGTAGTGACAGTTTTACAAAACATACCATTTAATACAACTAAAATAATATTAAAATTACGAAGATGAATATGAATATGAATAAAAATATAGGCTAAAGATCATAAATATTGATACTGAATATAAATATAGATTTCACTGAAGGTTCTGCACTCTCTACAAGATATCACCTTTAGAAATAATAATAATAATAACTTCTATGGGAAGGAAACTGAAAGAAACTGGTATGAACACCACCCAGACCCGGTTACGGAGCTAGGACCTGTTACAATTCTATGGGACTACACAATACACACTGACAGAATAAGCAATGCCAACCGCCCGGATATTGTTATTAAAGACCACAAACAAAAAAGGTGCCTCCTTATTGATATGGCAGTCCCTGCTGACTGCAATGTATCTTTGAAAATATTCAAAAAGCTGTCAAAATACAAGGACCTTGAAATAGAAATCTCGAAAATGTGGCATATAGAAACATCAACAATCCCTGTTGTAGTTGGAGCCCTAGGACTGGTTGGAAAAGATTGCAGTAGACTAATTGAAGGGATTCCTGGAAGTCCATGCCTCAAGGAGATACAAAAAATTGTTCTGACAAGTACAGCCTACTCTTTACGAAGGGCTTCATCTATGTGTTTTTTTCCTGTCAGTGGAAAGTGTCATGATGCCATTTCTAACCTTAGGTCCCTGGGCGGGACCCGGAAAGAAATGTGTAAACGCCAGAAATCAAAGAAAATAAAAATAATAGTAATACTAATATTCATCAACATGCTTGTTCGAATTATGGCACTGAAGTCCTATAGACACGGTACAAACACCAGCTGAATGATATCACAAATGGTGATGGATTGACTATACTGTGGAACTTCCCAAACCTCACAGACAGACAAATTGTTGCTCCACAGAGTCATAAAAGATTTTAAAAAGGAACTTGTCAACTGATTGATATGACTTGCCCACAGGATACCAACATTTCTAAAAAAAAAGAATTTCAAAAACTGCTGAATTATAAGGACTTGCAAATTGAAGTCGAAAATGTGTGGAAACTTAAAACTACGATTATTCCTTTTGTGAGAGCGGCATTGGGTCTGATAAAAAAACGGTACCGAAAATCATATGAGTAAACTTTCTGGACACATCAGCATCTCAGAACGATAAAAGATTACTTTGTACGGAACTGCACATAACATTTAAAAACCCTCGACATAGGATCGAAACGTCCCAAATGTGCATAGCTAACTTTCTTAGAGCGCCCTTTTTCCTCATACACTCCGGAGTTGATTGGTAAATCGGCATTTAAAATTAATATCTGGCCAGATGATACCACACATAATAATACTAATAGTAATAAGTATAAATAGCTTATAGAGCAAACGTCCATATGTCACATTTATGCACATGAGCCGAAAAGTTAGAGAAACATATCAAGCAGTAGCTGAAGCTATCTCCCTTTTTGATTGACGTTCTCAAGAATACCTGGTATCATTGTGAGTGCGCAGGTAGAAGCACTGGTTGAAATAGCTCATGTCCTGAGGAAAATGTTGAGTGTCTAAGCAGGGGTCAGAAAAAGAATATAGACGACACCATGTCAAAGTGACCCTCAGA